TTCCTGCTGTCATGGTGAGCATGCTCACAAAGGGTGGTCTCAATCATTTTTGTTGCTGCTATTTTTTACCATACTATCATATTCTTGATCTGATTATGAATATTTGTCCTTATTGAACAGAGACACTTTCTCAGCCTTGATTGTGGTTGTAATGGTGTTGTCTTTGTTCAAATGCGCAAGATAGATGGGGACCCTTGTCCCAAAGATATTGTGCAACATATGATGACAACTGCTGCATCAACAAGGAAACACATGTCCAGGTTCATGAATTGCTGACTTCTTATGTTAAATTTCATGACACATAGCTTCTGGTAAGCGTTAGTTAGTCTCCCTTTGTGTGCTGCGCTCTAGTTTTAGGTAGTGCTTATGGATTTCACTTGCAAAATGCATAGGGTCAACCATGTGACATTGGTTCATAGAGTACCAAATTGGCTTTTTCTGAACTTCTGCAAGAAGCCAAGAACATACGCAACATCTGAAAAGAAATGCCATATCATTTTAACATGCTAAAGTTATATACTGTTTGTTCATATACAGGTTCATTTTAAGAGTGTTACCAATTGAAGTTGCGTGCTATGCTTCAGAAGAGGAAATTTCAAGAGCAATTGCACCAATTGTGGAGAAATATTTTCCCATGGATACCCAGGACCCACAGAAGGTACCTAGGTCTATCAATTCCATTGATCCTTAGCTCAAAATAAACTGGCAATGCTTCTCTGGTCTTCCACAATTAAAGTTGTAAAACAAATAGTAGATAAAGTTTTTGAGTAGTGTATTGAAAATTTAAGTTATTGCATCAACATGAATACACTGCATCAGTTAACACAGCAATGCTTTACAACTTGGGAATGCATAGGGCACGTTTTTGGAAAGAGTTGATTTTCAAATATTTACCAATGTAGCATTAGTCTTGCTCCATCTTTATTGAATGGTTTGACTTTTAGTAGAGACTTGATTCAGAATTAAATTAAGCCAAGAGGTAGCATCATGTGAAGTTGAAACTGATATGAGCAAGTTATCCCAATCTGTTTTGCATCCATGATCATGGTTATAATTCAGCATGGGTAAGGGATTCTGTGTAAAAGGAGGTTCAGAATTTATATTTATTCAAATATGACATTAATCACCAAAAGTATGTGGTCATTTATGGTAGAATTCTATAAGGTGAGTTAAACAGGATAAAATTAAGCAGACAAGAAGTTCCTAACAGGGTTAAGGAAAAAAAAAAAAATCTTGGTTGGTGAAGCATTTGGAAAAATTAGGGTTTTTGTATTTAGAGAAATTGTTGTTTGTTTTGGAATTTGGAGTGGAACTGAAAGCAAAAGCAAATAAATTTCAAGTTGTTGGCCAATGTGAGTAGTACAAAGAATGAGCTGGTCATACTTAAGGTGAGCACCTGGATAAAAATTTTGGCATACAAGAAGTTCCTAATAAGATTTGGGATAGAATATGATGAAACGAATTTGGCTGGAGATAGGCATTTGGATTTGTTGTGTGGAGCTGAGGAAGATGAATTACTTTGGGCTCCCTGCAGTGAGGAATCTGTTGTTTAGGGAGAAACTTGAAATGTTTGTTCAGCCTTGACTTATTGAATAATTCGTCTTCAGCTGGTTCAGATTGAGATCAAAAGAAAGAGCATGCCCAGGCTCTGCTTCTTAGTATGATACCCTGGTTTTGTCAACCTATACACAGGGAATATGCCTACTAGAGCAAGAAGTACAGATAATCAAGTCTCAGAAAGTGGATTTTGGCTTTATTGAATATAGAGATTTCGCCCATAAGAGTCCAGTACCAGCTCCTAAGCCTAAGCTCTTTATCTTTAGCCACAAGTGCTTCCAAAGTTGTTAGCGTGCGTGGGATTCTAGTCATTTTTGGAAAATGGTTTGGAAATGAGATTTATTAAAAAAAAAAAAAAAACTCTTACACGGGACAGAATTTGGATTGTCAAAAAGAATTCGAAATTTTAGGGTTCTTGTATTGAGAGAAACTAGAGTTTGTTTTGGAATTTGGAGAGAAATTGGAAGCAAAAGGCAAATAAAATTCAGCTGTTCAGCCTTTGAATACTAGCAAGGGGGAACAAGTCATTGAGGCTTCCTAGGAGTTTCAAATTTAAAAGAATAATTTCAATGGAGTCTCCCCATTAGAAGATTGCTAGCACGCAACAAGATTTTATTCTAAAACTGCCACCATCTGTTGCATGTACAACAACATGAGACTTGCTCATATGGAGGTACAGTAAATGTGTACCCTAGATATAGTATTTTTCTGATCCATATTGATTATTACCTTCCTAAAGTTTTAGTGCTAAAACCTATAGAAAAAACCAAGTCCTATTTTCTTCACTGAAATTGAATGAGTAGAAAGGATTAAAATCTTTTAGAAATACTGTGAAAAAGGAGATAGAAAAGAAAGCACAATTGGATTAGGAGGTAAAATTATATATATATATATATATATATATATATATATATATATAGGAGATAGAAAAGAAAGCACAATTGGATTAGGAGGTAAAATTATATATATATATATATATTCATGAATTAGTGCCCTGCTTTGTCATTATTTATTAGAATTTAAAATTAAGTCCATTGATTTCATCTCACTTTTGTGTTAAGGAGCTAGCTCTAGCGGTACTTTTGCAGTGCATGGTGAACCTTAAATAAAATTTGATGGTTTCTGTGAAATTCTCAGGTCCCTCACATGTAGTTCAGGACACAATTAGTTCAGGAGTTGCTGTTGAGGTAGCTCCGTCACATTTCAGAATTTGGATCCAAGGGCCACTGGGAATGGGACAATAGAGGGCATTGAATGCCATCACATTTAATTGAATAAAGATCCAAAATAATGTTTGTTTCTTCTATTAATCAAACATGACACTTCTACGTTGCTAAAATCACCCCTACAGTCATCCTAATTGTGATAGAATATAGGAAATCTTTGCAGATGAGAAATTCGAATTTGCTGAATTTAACTGAGTCAATAGGGACCCACTGCATGGAGCGAAAGGATCCATATAGCTGACCCCAACTAGTTTGTTGATTGAGGCTTGGCTGCTGTTGTTGTAATAGGGACCAACCGAGTTGCATCACATGCAACAATTTGACCACTTGCTTGTTCTGTGCAGTTTGCAGTAATGTATGAAGCCCGTGCAAACTCTGGTATTGACAGGATGAAAATTATAAATTCCGTTGCAAAATGTGTTCCTGGACCTCATAAAGTTGATCTTAGCAATCCTGACAAGACAATTGTAGTTGAAATTGTCAAGGTAAACATCTGTTCTGTTCCCTGCTATGTCTTGTTGTATGCAGAGACTACTCATTCAAAACCATTTGTTTAGCCTTTTAAACCATGTATTCTTTATTGCAAAGCACTAGTTATTGGTTGTAAGATCAATGGTAACTGGAGAAAAAAGTCGAGAGTTTTGCTGCTTAATCAGATGTTTGCTCTATGGTGGTGCTAGATTGTTTTTTGCCCCATTAACTTTTGTTATTTTTTTGGTTATTTTTTCAGACTATGTGCTTGATCGGGGTTATTGAAAAGTACAAGGAGTTGTCCAAGTACAACTTGAGGCAGCTGACATCTACGAAGTAGCAGTAACTCGTCACATCTCAAACTGGGAGCAAAGCAACTTTATAAATTTTTGTTCAACTGAACACCATTTCATTCTTGAGCTGCCATGTTATAAGAATGTTCATCGTTTTGTTCAGAATGTTCATCGTTCTGTTCTGACTGACATTTTTACCAGAAGACAAAAAAAAAATCTATCTCGTGGTTTTCTTCCCTTCCCTTTTGTTCTTTCCCCCTCATTTTTCGCACTGCCTTGTTATAAGAATGTTCATCGTTCTGTTCTGACTGACATTGTTACCAGAAGACAAAAGAAATCTATCTCGTGGTTTTCTTCCCTTCCCTTTTGTTCTTTCCCCCTCATTTTTCGCACTGCCTTGGTGCAAGTCCAGGTTTTTTTCCCCAATTATCGCTGCAGCGATAACCATTACCACAAGTATACTCGATTTTCATTCAGCTTGCAAAATAAATGGAGAAGGGAGGATTAATCTGTTGATAACGGATAAAATTATCAGCCGTACCTTTCTTAATTTGTTATTGTATAAGAATAATATAATTTTCAAGTGGAGAGAAACATTATAGGCGAAAATAGTCTTTATTCTTTTATTTTAATAACACTAAGCGTATCGATGTGAGAACAATAATATCCAACAAAAAATCAACCATTTCCACCACTTTTTGAGAACAAAATTCCCCTGTTCTCTTACTATCTCTCAAAATGCACGGCACAAGGAGTAGATGGCAAGAAAAATCTGATCCATCAATTCATTTTCCATTGAGTCAGTACAGTAAAGGCTAAAGTTGTGGAAGAGGGAAATTCAAACCACATCCAACAAAACAGTGAAGTAACACACACTACTACTTTTGGACCCCTCTTCCATCTAAACAGTAGCACTTGGAGGCTTGTACAACTTCTCAACCATTTTCCTATATTCTGCAACAATGACAAGGTGCCACAATTAAGTAATTAATTATTCAAACTCCAAGCAATGCATTCCAATATGCACCATTTACGTAAATCATAACATCCAAATTAACAACAACAAACCTTGTTGATTGCTCCAAAGTTGTGCTGCTTGAGTGTTTAGAGGTGAACTGATGTTTGGTTCTACATCACACAAAAAGAGAAATGATCTTAGTAGTCAAAAATTAAATAACCAACCTCCATAAACAGAAAATGGAAAAAAATCTACCTCCAAGCAGGCTTTGGATAGATAGCAATATTGTCCTCACATCATAGGCAGATGACCATTTATCCTAGGAACACACAATATAAGCATCAGAGTTAGATCAGCCAATTTGAATCTTAAAAATCACTTGTAATTAGTTAAATAAAAGCACATTTAGACAACAAAATTTTAAACAACAACATTGAGAACACCAGAAGATTTAATTTTACCTGAAGAATGTCCAAGCAAATGTTGCCATAGATATCCACATTGGGATGGAAGCAGCTGGTTTCAAACTTGACTTTTGGAGGCTTGAAAGGATAGTCATTTGGGAATGAAAGGGATAGCTTGTATTCCGTTCCTTCAAAAACTGTATCTTTGCTGCCTTTGATTGTTCCTTTCCAGCAAAATATGTTGTCCCCTTCAGGGAAGGCAGATATCCCAGATTCTCCACTCATCTACAAAACAATATTAGTCATTGATTTATTGCTGAGAAAATAAGAGATACGACAACAAGACAGGTTTCAATATTCTTACCATCAATGCCATCAGTTCAGATTGCAACCTGGTTAAAAAGAAGTAGCAGCAATTAGTCAAATTTATACGAATAAATAAATAAACCCTAAAGATTCTTAAGCAAATTAAAAGACAACAAGTAATCAGATCCAATCGTGTTAAAAGCAACCAATTCTCAAGAATATATACACATATATATTAAATTAAACCATGAAATACCGAAAGCAAATGAAAGAACAAAAAGAGAGACCAGCTCAAGCTTATCAAACAACCAATTAGCTAATGAAAAGCAGACTCCCCAATTTAAGACAAACAATCAAACAGGGCTTAAAGAAACCCAATTGAGTCATTCAAAACTACGGTTAGATAAAGAATCAGTCACATGAAATCAATGCTTAAATGACACTGTCCAAATTCATTATAAACAAAAACATCATCTGATTTAATAACAAAGAAAAAAAAGTCACAAAATCACATTTACGAACAAGAAAAGAAAACCCAAAAAATAAATCCAGTTATAACTCGTGATATATTACATGGTTTGACAAATGAAAAGAACAGATCAAATGCAAAAAGAAAAGAAAATTGCCGTTTAAGCACGGATTGCGTATCGACAATCTTTGCCGCTGTGACAGTCTGTTTTGATGGGGTAGTCCCCGCCGGAGCAGCCACCGGAGTATTCCCTTGATACCCATTAACAGTTTCCATTGTCTCTCTTCTTTCTTTAGAATTCAAAAGAACGGTATCGAAAGCACAAACAGAAGAAAGAAAAATAGCCCAAATCCAAAAAACTGACTAGTGAAGTTTGGTTTGTTTTGAAAACAAAAGGAAGAGAGACTCAAGAGAGTGTCTCTTCTTCTTCTTTGTGTTTTTTTTTTTAGAGAGAGAGAGCGTTTCAACAGAGAGAGAGAGAGAGATGAGGGAGGCCATGCCATGGGTTTATAAGAATTTGAGAATGGCAATTACGATACCGTTTAGGAAAGTTTTGGGGCAGGGTTTGGTGTTTTTTCGAACGTTAGAACGACGGTGGTTGCCAATTGAATTGTCCGTTTTCTCCTCAATCTCCAACGGCTAGTTTCCCGGTTTGAAAAGGGCTACTGCGAATAAAGTACGCAAAACTGGGTCAAATTTCTTTTTCCTTTTCAGCAATAATATAATGCCACGCGTCCTTTAATTTGAACAGAACAAGGTAACAAACGCACACGTGAATAAAAGAATTATTGAAAATAATTTCGTCCATTGTAACCTTTACGGTTACGTTTGGTAAAAACGAATGCTCCTTCAAAACTTTTTTCAACAAAAAAACATTTTCTTTTAAGGATGCATTATAGAAATCCATCAACAAGGTTATTTAATTCTTATAAAAGAATATTATTTAACAGTTTGGGTTGCTATAAATATTGATCATTGATAATAATATTTATTTTAATAATAAAAATATAATGAATTAATGTCAAAAACTAAAGATTGATCATTAGTTCTTTTTAGTCTTGCACTTATAAATAAATGGATAAATTGAGCTAACAAGATACTGCTGAATGGATTGAAAAGAAAAATAAAAAGAGCTTAGGATGAATAAGTTGGATTACTAGATGAGATTTCATTGGCCTACATAAAACTTTCACAAGCAAAGCACCATTCTAACTAACATATGACACTTGTAATACTTATGAGATAGAATGCCGTAATCATAGAGTATTATATTTTTCTATCAATAATAATGATAGAGAGTGAAGGCAAACTTGGATTTGATTGAGGAAGTTCAACTCAGTGCAGTAATGAAAAATAAGATATATTGGCATTGAACTACTCAATACCACAATATTAAAATAAATAAAATAGAAAATTCAAGATAAGAGATTGGTATTAAAAAAGCTAGAGGCAGTTGGTACCTCTGAAGGAAGAGGAAAATTGGTGTCAAACTAGGATGACTCATTTAAGGTTGTTAAAGTCATTAAATATAACACCTATAACCTACAAGATAAAAAAGGAAAAATACTTCCCTTATGTGTGGCACTCAAATAATTTAAAAGTGTATTTTTGTTGAATTATCATGACATTAATGTAATTAGGCCAAATATTTAAATTTTTTACATCTCTAGTTAGTTTTGTGTATATCACTTCTATATCTCCAACAACTTTACATCTTTTATAAATCTCTAATTTGACTCCGATGTATATTTTTTGATGTCTTTGATTTCAAAAATAGAATTTTATCAATAAAGTTTTATTTCTCCAAGATAATTTTTATATCTTCATGTTATTTTCTTCAAGGTTCATTTCTTTTGGTCACTTTCTCCAAGATAATGTTTGGTTAATTGCCATGTTAATTTTCATATCTCTATATTTTTTTTTTCAAGGTTTATTCTTCTAGTTACTTTATTTTCTTCTTAATAATATTCATATCTTCATGTTATTTTCTCAGAGATTTATCTATCTTCATTATTTTTGCTTGAAACTTCAAGTTTTTCACACTCTGGATCAAACCAAGCTAAATAGTAGCTTAGTCTATACATAATTCCTAACTAACTTGAAACATTTCTTCATGTTGGATATTTTTTCTCCACTTTAAACCCACAATCAATTTCTCTTGAAACTATTAATCTCTAAATTACACTAAGTTATGTTTCAAAAATAGATAGCCAAGTGATAAATTCTACTTCTTTTTATTTATTACTAAAACATACACACCACTATACTATATAGAAACTACAATATTACATAATAAAAATACAATTTCAAACATATCAAACAAAATATAAGTAATGTTTGTGGTCTTTTATTCTTATTTTAGCTTATTAAACAAATGACATTCAAAGGCTTTCTAGCTCTACCAGGTTAAATCTCATTAAAAGAGAACACACTAACATGAAACAAGTGGGAGAAGTTGTATTAATGTTTTGAGAACTGTTTTAGAAGTGAAGATATCTTATCATGTTAACCACTTTATCCCCCATTACTATTTTAAGTGTAGGACTATTGTTGTCATCAGTTTTAAAATAAGAAGGATTATCTCTTAGTGCTTGCAAATGTGAACATTATCCTTGTAATTGAGTCACCTTACCTTGTACATGGACTAATTCATTCTACGCACTAGTTGGTGCATTCTAAGCATCTGAATATATCTTTCCAAGCTTTTTAATTTTATTCTTACAACTAGCCACTTCTTATTTAGACTCCATAATGACAACTCGAAGAAATGTGAGTTCTATATGAAAAGTATCTTTTTTTACACATAGGGAGCGATGAGTTGATTATAGTCCACGAAAACTCTACTTCGCATGAGCTTGTCTATCCTTGGAAGTTGTAATTTCTTGATGATCTAATATCAAAGATTTGATTATGTGCTTACATTTTCTTTCCCATCTTTAGAGCGATAATACCTATATTTGAAAATCTTAAAGAAATTTTTTTTTTATTAGTAGTGGTAAAAATAATAATGAAGAGATCAAGTTACTTTATACTTACATGAAAAGTTATGGACAAGTTGCTAGTCAATTGATGGGATAGACTACCTTCTCCAAATCAAATCATTG